CAGACACCGTACCATGTGCTGTGACTTAGCAGTGCATGGTCATTGAGGAGATAACCAAAACTTTCTCTTGGAAAACATAGCGTTTAGGTTTCTATGTTTTGAGTAATGAGAGATCAGTACATAATTTGAACTCTCATTAACTCTTGGTTGGTTGATGCCTTCAATACTTGAATAGCATTTTGCCAATAGTCTACCCTTCTCTTGACTTAAATATTCTCAGTGTCTTAAACCCTTTTGAAATGGTTACTTTTGAGAACTTTTCCCACTCAGCCATCCATACCTCCATAAGCCTGTGTCACTCATGCAGGATGTATATGGTTAGTCAATACCTTATTCTTGAAATATTGTGCCTGTGTGAACCTACTTCATACAATATCCAGTATGGCAAGCCACCATCCTAATAACACAATATATTTAAGTGGTCAGGGTAGACGAATTCAGAAAGTAAAAAATTAATTGTTCGCACACCATGACACATGCTACCATTTGCTTACCATAAACCTTTTGCTTCTATAGTCTTTGATATGACAACTGAGACAATGTTCATGTATCTCTATTTGGTTTTATGGGGGTTTCCGTCTTATTATTCCGGTGTTGAGTTTTCCAGCATTCAATCTCAAGTGTGTTTAGTTGTGTTTACGTCTCGAGTCTTAGTGCTGTGCTATATACCCAGCAGGTGCTTACCTTAAGATGCCTGATGGATGCTTGTAACGGAAACAGACCAAATTCGAGCCATTCCTCCGTGCTTGCTTCACTTGGCTCAACCTTAATTTGTCTCACCAGTGTGTCTCATCTTTGCCTTGACGTTGTTGAGAAGAAATACATCTCTCTTTCATCTCTCAACATGCATTAATGCCAAAAAACCCAGTATTTTTCTCTAATGGTCAGGATGCTATAATCTAAACAAAATAAGAATAAAGAAAAGGATAAGAGTTGGCTATAAATGGGCTTCTTTAATAGGACGTGTTTCTGTTCTGTGGACAGTTTATTTTGAAACTGTGTACTAGTATCTTTCCTATAACAAACAGGAAAGGCACAGGTAAACCAAAGTGATTAGCATTCAAGGAGCAGACTTGGGAATATTCACTATAGCTTGTCCTTTCAATGTGTCTCCTTTTGACATCTTCACCCTGGGTATCCGGGCAACAGAGCACTTCACCAAAACAAAAGTCCCATAGACACCATTTGCTGAATTCCATCAGAATAATAAAAAGACTGTTTTATCTGAGCATTTGCTGAAGACAGTAATTTAGAAAAACACCAAGACAGTAGCTAAATGTACTTGATTCAGAAGTAACTGTCATTGAAAGAAACCCTATCATTTTCCAAACACTTTCAGGGAGATACAAAGCAGGGAGAAAAGGGATTTGGGCCTAAGTGAGAAGTAAGCCAGTGTGAAGGTACGATGCTCAGAAATCCCACCGAAGGCTCATTTATCTGACGCAGACCGAATGTCCTCATGCCAGCCAGGGGCGTGCCGTCACTCCCTGTGTAAACACCTGTGAACAGACCCGGCATGCCCAAGAAGTCTCCTCTTCCTCAAGACCAGGCTGCGTGTATTCTCTGGGACAAAGCTGTATATTTAGGGTGACCTTTGTTTTCTTAGGGTGACGATCTGATAACCTCAGCATCATATTTGGAACGTTGGAAACATTTGTACAGCAGTAATGCAGGACTCCCCGGAACCTTGATGGGTTAATTAAAGATGGGGGGGAGGCATGGGAATCACAGTCACTTGGATACTTAGCACTGGGGGAGATGGCAGGACTTGGTGGTTCAGAGGAGGATTGGTGTGTTTGGTGTCTTAGGTTCATGTATCTAGACTTTTTATTTTTGTCCTACAGTTCACCTCTTTCATTTGTAACCAAGGGGTTAATTCTGTGGCTCAGCCGTCTGATCTTCCCAGGGCCAAGAGCTCAGTAGTGTTCTCCCAGAGCCATGTTGATGCGACTGCCGACCAGAACTCAAGGTTCTCAAAGTGCATAAGGCAGGGACTGCTCCAGGGAGTACAAGTTTGAGCTCCTCACGTGATGGAACTGAAGCAGGCTAAATGCTAGCCTCCACACATTCTGGCGTTATGACGAGCCAAAGAAGTCCATCCTGATGCCCAGTCAAGCTCCCCACTCTTTCTTGGCTTGCATAAACTTCATCGACTCCCTCTTCCTGTTCCAGACCACAGCTGACTGACCCAACCCATCCGTGTAGATGGCCAACCTGAGGCCTTGAAGCACTTGTCAGGTCAGGTGTTTTAGTGATGCTCACACTTAGGGGCACACACTTCCCCTGGGCCTATAGAGTAGTGAGGTGAAGGGTATCGCCCACATGAAAATAGTGAGAAAGGAGAGACAGGACAGAGGAGAGACACTGTTTGACTTGTGAGGGATTGTCGTTTGAGTGAGAAGCGTCCGCTGTAGCCTCTTACATGTTAACACTTGGTCTCTGGTGGGAGAGGCCCCCGAATGTTTAGGAAGCGAAGCTTTGGTGGAGGAAGTTATGTCAATGGGGCAGGCTTTGCAGGTTTACAGCCTTGCCCTTAATGCCTGTTGTGTCTCTCTACTTCCTGTGTGTGGTTAAGATCTGTTCTCTCACTTTCCTGCTCCCAGTGCCTTCCTAGTAATGATGGACATCTAGCCCTCCAGAACTGTAAGCCCAGACAAAGTCTTCTGTAAGCTGCTTTTGGTTTTGCTGTTTTGTTACAGCAACAGAAAACAAGCCGGTGCTGGTGGGTTTCTCATTCCTAACTCCTGCTTATTTTGAGAATCAACTATTTGGCTTTTGTATGAGATATGTATCCCAGACTTCATTTGACCTAAAGTCTTTTCAAGGGAGTTTTGCTTCATTGTAACTAATGAAATGATCATTGAGAAAAAGGAGCTGGTTGGAGGCATCTTCACAATCAGAATCGCAGGGAGTGTCTGGACTGGTGTTTGGTCCACAGTTTGGTGTCCTGCACTTTCCTGATTCCAGAACATGGCAGACCCTTGGCCACTCTACTGGATTTTGGTGAGGTTGATAGAGCACAAACCAAAAGCTACCATCTAAATGTTCCGGCCTTCCAGCTTCTGGTTGCTCAAGACTTACACTATATCTGTAAAATGGATATGTCTGGAAAACCCAAGGGTCCCTGTGTTCCTATTCCTGTACAATCTCCAACCATGGATGATTCAGGCAGTCACATCTTAGAGTCCTTAGGTGTGAGGATGATGCCTTCTGCTGTGAGAGGTCATTTGGGAATCGTCCTGGAGGGTTCTGAACATTTCCTGGCTGCTCTGAGCTGCCAGTTCTCACTGTCTTGGAGTTATGTGTCATCGGGATGAAGGCAGTCTGATATCCTGAGTTAGGCTAATTGTTGAGGGCAACAGGGAAGCAGGAGTAAAACCCGGTTTCTGGCCATGTAAGCGGTGTTTCTGTAGCTCCTGCGTGGGAGGCGCCTTCTCTCCGGGAAAAGGTAGGCTGCAGGCTGTATGCATCTAGCATGAATAAAAGGTACAGAGAAAGCCAGGTTTGATCTCTGCACAGAAGATCTTCCTGTATAATTTTTGGCTTTAGAATGGGGGGGTTAGATTTCTGGGCAGGAAGGGAAGCTAATATATCATTGTAAAGTTGTAAATAGGGTCAGTGGGACAAGCTGTGTTCAGAACATTCCTGCCTACGTGAATCAGATAAAAGTCCAAGTGACACTGTACACACACACACACACACACATGTGCACATGCACGCACGCATATATACCCACACATACACATACATAGGCATGCATGCACGCACATACATGCATACACAATGTGCACACATGCACATGCATATGCTTGCACACACACACACATACACACATGCACACATACATACACACAAGAGTATGCGCATGAGCTTGACACGCCACAGCACACACGTGGCAGTCAGAGGAGAACTTGGGGGAGTCAGTTTTCTCCCTCCACCAGGCAGATTCTCGGGTTGAGCTCAGTTGTCAGGCTCATTGGCGCTAAGCCATCTCACTAGCGTTGTTCGTACTGATTGTATTTTAAATAGTTTCATGAGGGCCTAATTCGGTCCACAGAGCACAAAGCCTGGTTTAGACAGAAGGTAATGGGACTTTTGTGGTCACTATTGTGGCAACACCCCTCTCTAAAAGATAAGCGAAATTTGTTCCTAGAAAGCTCGTGTTGATAGAGGAACCCAGCACACATTAATATCAGAGTGGACTGATATTTTGAAAATTTTTGGCCTTTTCTTTTATCTGTAGACCATCTTCTTTTCCCATCAGAGTACACACACACATACACACACACAAATTTGTACAAACCACAGGGGTCCCCTGGTTAGGTAGCACAATAATGTGCAGAAAAACTTACAGACTTCACAAAAGTATTGTCAGAAAAGGTCCCTTTTTAAAGAAAGGCAATTTCAGTTACGTTATATGAAATCAACATATAAAATCAGTAATGGCTCTATAAGCCAAAGATGAACTAGCTGAAAAAAAATAGAAAAAGCAGTTCACCAGTCTTGGTCTAGTTCGGGTGAGCTTATTTCAAAATACAATTTGCTATTGTAAAAAAAATACGAAAATATAATAACTAAATTAATAATCCAAACTGTCACTTAATATATATCTTAGCAATAAAACTGCTAACATTTCAGTAGATGCATGCAGCTTTGCCTATGCAAGTAGATGTATCCTGGCCATCATTGTGTCTGTTAATTGATTTGTTTGCCTTTACGTATTTTGTGAAAGTTTCGGCCTGAGTTATATGTACTTTTCTTACTCTTTTTATCAAGTGTTTTATCAGGGTCAATATCCTCCTTGTCCTACCAGCACGAGACACTGAGAACCATTATGGCACTTAGGGTTTGAGTCATGAGTAAGAAAGTGCAGAAGAGGACCCTGTGCAATGAGACCAGAGCAAGGCCATCATTTCATCTAAGTGATGTTAAAGTCTTCCCTGGTTTACTGAGTGTCTCCTTTGGGAAGATATTCTGAAACCTATCTTTCTTTTTTCCAGAACCCACTTTTTGCTGTGGAGCGCTGTGGAGAGTTTCTCCGTGTGAGAGCATTTACCCAGCAGATGTCCCACTGCCTAAAACATCTCCAGAGAAGGAGACAAGCGACTTAGATCTGCAAGCTGTAGATGGAGAAACGTTAAGGTAATTTCTGTTTCAGGTAGCACAGGAAGAAATAAGATCACAGGAGAAAACTTTTAAACATTGTCTGTAGGTAGCACAGGATGAAATAAGATCACAGGAGAAAACTTTTAAACATTGTCTGTAAGTCCCAGGGCTAATTGCCTGGGCAGAACCAGTCAGAGCGCATTGGTTTGCACGGATGCTGGGTTCCTGGCTTAGAAGTTCTGTGCAGGTGAGTGGCTAGTATCTGAGAATGCATTCTAAGTAAATCCCTGGAATTGTTGGTAGCTCCAGAATTATACAAAGTGAAGTGCTGTGTAGTATCTGCTCCATTGGGATGTTGACAATGTGAGTGCAAACTGGTGGTCAAGACATATTCATAAGAGCAAACTATTGTGGTTATGAAGAAGCAACAAAAGGTAGACTCTAAATTTATTTAATCTATGTAAAAATAAAAAAAAAACGACATTGTTCCCAGGAGCTGTGTACCTTGTTTTGTTTTTTTGAGACAAGGTCTCTCAGTGGGACCTGGGCCTTGTGGATTAACAGAGGCTAGCCTGTTGGCGCCAGAGATTGGAATTGCCACTGTATAAGATTACCTAGTTTAAATTTTTTTTAATGTATATAGATGTTTTGCCTGTAAGTAAATCTGTGCACCATTTGCATGCCTGGTACCTGCAGAGGCCAGAAGAGATTGTCTGGAATCTCTTGTAACTATGGTTACTGATGATTGTGAGCCTCCATGTGGGTTCTGGGAATTAACCCCGGGTCCTGTGGAAGAACAGTCAGTGCTCTTAACTGCTGAGTCACCGCTCTAGCTCCTGAACTTTTTATGTGCAGGCTTGTGATCAAATTCAGGTCTCCATGCTTATATGGCAGGTATTTCATGAATGGAGCTATCTCTCCAGATCCTGCTACCTTTCCCCAACAGCACAGATGGGCAGCGAGTGAGTTAAAGAACCATCTAGAGGATGCACCAGGCACCTTCTTTTTACTTTTATGAATATTTAAAGTGCCATTTGTTAGGTCCAAACATGGATAAGAGAAGGCATGGAGAACTCAGTGAGCATCCTGCTTCCCTCTTTTGCTCTCTTTCGGTGCAGAAGGCCAGTCTCCTTTGCCTTGTTGGAGGATGCTAGCTTTGAGGCTTGCCACACAACCATTAGATGGTAGTGTCATATTTATAGATTCTCACAATTTCTTGAGTTTAAGTTTCCGGTCATTAATGACCAAAGGTAGCCATCTCTGTGTCTCTGAGATGTAATCTAATGAACACAGCCTCTGAAACAACCCCCCTTTGTTGAATACTGTTGTAGTGCTTGAAAGGTGACATAGAACTTTTGGCTAACTGTCAAGATCAAATGCAATTTCTCCAAGAAAGAATGAGTATCTCAACTGAAGCATCAACTGTTTTATTTATTTTTTCTTTCCAGAGAGCAGTTTTGCAAATCAGTGATTGTAGTAGCATTAATTTGAAAGATCTTTTGACTTTATCAGATAGCAGTCATTGACCTTGGTTGGCTTCCCAGGCTGAATAGAGGTTGAAAGGCTGTTGACAGGTAGTGTATTGTAACAAATGCCCTGCTGTTGTCAGCTTACCTCTAGTAATGCTAGCATTTATTCAAGACAAGATCCAAACAAATTTACATGGAAGGACAATATATAAATGTTAGAAAATAATGAAATTAAGATGGATATTAAATGTAGGTCTTTCCCCAACAAATAGATCTTAATTATAAATATTAGAACTTACCAATACTAAGTTTAGACAGCAAAATGCATGTTATTTGGGTCTGTCTTAGGGTTTACTATTGCTATAAAGAGATACCGTGACCACGGCAACTCTTATAAACAAAATGCTTAATTGGGGGTGGCTCGCTCACAGTTTCAGAGGTTCAGTCCATTATGATCATGAAGGGGAGCCTGGCTGTGTGCAGGCAGACGTGGTGCTGGAGCTGAGAGGACTACGTCTTCCAGGCAACAGGAAGTCAACTGACTGTCACACTGAGGGAAGCTTGAGCATACGAGACCTCAAAGCTGGTCCCCACAGTGACATGCTTCCTCCAACAAGGCCACACCTAATAGTGCCTCTTCCTTTGAAGTCTTTATTCATTGCTCAAACATATTCATTTAAGTGGTCACTAAATGTCTACTGTATCATACGAATTAAGGTAGAATAAACAAGGATTAGTAAAGTCCTGTTGGGGTCTCTACAGACCCATGTGTCGAGGTTGGAGAGTGAAGAGTGCGCTGTTCACCCATCCTGTGGCCTCCCTGGAACCCGGAGACAATCAGATGCAACAGGGAGTCAAGTCAAGCAGGATCTCGTTTATTGTTTAACAGTAAAGCCCTCTTAAAGTATAAACCACAGGGTAGGGAAAAGTATTACCCAGTAATTTTAAGGATATTCCTATTATGTATCTAGTGCCCTATATCCTCTTGGGCATGGGTCTGTGAGTGTGATGACCTCATCTTGTGCGAGTTTGGGCAGCCAATTGTTTTTCTTAGTAAACACTTGAAGCTTCACATCTCGTAATGGCACTGGTCTTCAGCTTCGGCCACTCCCTCTTCTGGCCGGGCATGACCTGTGCTCCTCAGCAAAGTCCTGCTAAGGCTCTGGTGCTGAAGAGAGTAGAGAACACTGAAGAGTGTTGGCACCAGGATCTTTGGGAAAGCAGTTCTTTGTAGAGGAGGAAGATGACACGGGTAGCTCAGATTATCTTTGGTGAGACATTGCCAATTCAATAGAGACAATGACTGTCATTATGGGAGCATGTGACCAAAAGATAACAAAACAAAACCAAGTCACTCACACAGTAGGCTTTGGTCCTTCAGACTGAACACTAGCTTCTACCTCCTCGTAAACCAGGGAGTAGCCACTGGTACCAGCTGGGTCTAGGGGTAAAATATCATGACTGGCAGTGCGTGGTCATGAGGCAACCTGCCCCAGGCAGACTTAAGAGAATGGAGAAAAGCCCATGTTAAAAACTAAGAAATTGTCTAAGCCTAAGACAGATACTTCCCTAGACTCCTTTGCAGAAGAAATATAATTTTGATTTTTCAACTCGGGTCTCTGCTCCTGCATTCCATCACTGTGATTGGGATTCTTCCCTCATCTCCGGAGCTCCTCCAAACCGGATGCCCTTTGACTTTCAGACTTCTGTTTTCACCCTTGGCATCCTGGTTAGCCAACTCTCCAGGGTCCCCTGATATCTGATATGGGAGACATGGGTAGCTTTGGTGAAGCCACCACTCTGTGCTGAGGTCCTGCCTCTATGTACCCACGCAAACACCTCTATGATGGTTTTATGCCCCATGGCACCATCCCAGAGCAAGTCCCTTCTCCCTTATATGAAGATCTTTTTCCCCCACAAGCCACAAGAGTTCCCTTCTGCACATTCTACTTCTCCAAGCCCCTCCCACCCCCAAGTCTCCGTGGATTTAAAGTTAAAAGATCACAAAGGAAAACCTCCAGTGCAATTCCTGTTGTGGACTTGGATGAGAATCTGTCCTAAGGCGATAAATCAAAGAACAGGCCTAGCTTCTTTGATGAGGGAGGGAAAAGGAGAGCAAACAGGAAAGAAGTCAACTTCAGTTAGTACCTTAAAATCCACGGAGCCTTTGGTCGTGACCCCAGGAGGAGGAAGGCAGAGAGCCAGGCTCCTGGTTTAGAAGGCGGTGCGGGTGTGGTGGGGGAGGGGTGGGGGAGGACACAGTCTGGACGGAGTCTGAAATCTTGCTTTTGTCTGGGAAGTGAGTTGTATCCATCTCATCTCACTCCCCACAGGGCGCCCAGGGCTCCATGGAAACCAGAGGGCAGAAGGAGAACACCCTGCGGTTTGTTACATTGTATTTTCTTCACTTTCGTTCATCAGAGTTGCTGAATGGAGGCTTACCCTCAAAGGGCAATGGGGATTCCTGGGCTTTCTGAACCATCCATACTTACATTTCTGTTTCCTGCTATGCTCTCCCCAGATTCAGAAGAAGGCATTGCTGGAAGGTGGGTAGGGGTGAGCAGAATGGGAATGTACTGGATTTGTTGCTGAGCTGGGCCAAATTCAGTTCTTGTTAACTTGTGGTGGGGGGAAGACAGGACCGATGACGCTCTCCCCAAATACTTCAGCTTTCCGTGCAGAGGAAGGGAAAGCCATTCGAGAGAATTGCAAAGACAGGCCGAGAAAAGATCAAACCGCAAAGGTCAGGCACCACCAAGAGGTTTCCGGCAGAACTAGGCAGCCTTTTTCTTGAAGAATGTAGGCAGCTAGGGATCGGCATCAAAGGAGATGAACTATTCAACACTCCCTGGTTTCGGTGTGGCCTGCATTTTTGAGTCTACTGAGAAAAGATCAAGAGAAAAGAGAGGCGGGAGTGAGGAGGAGGAGGAGGAGGCAGCCCAGGCCGCTGCTGGCATGACCGACCGCCTTGGGAGGAGGGTGAGGCAGGACGGTGCCTTGCTGCGCATAAGGGCCACCTGGACGTCTCTGTGGGGTGGGGACCAAGACCAGCAGGCACCAAGGGTCTGCACTGTGTCTGTCAGGGATCATCACGTTATGGGCCGGGCACAGGGAAGCTGCAGTCACTGTCTGCTCAGACTTGAGGCTGGGCCAGGGTCACAGACAGGGGCGCTTTGATTGTTAGAACCAAAGGAGCGGACATGCCAACAGCTGTAGTTTCATTCTGTTGTGGTAATAAAGCACTCCGACCGAAAGTAGTGTGGGGAGGACGGGGTCGTTATCCTTGCACTCAGGTGACAAGCTATCCCCGAGAGAAATCAAGACAGGAACAGGCATGCATTGGAGCATAAACCATGGGCAAAGGCTAACGGGTCCTTCAACCGGTTCAAGTTCAGCCAGCTTTCTTAGACAGCGCATGTGCAGGCCGACTAAGGCCGGCGCTCCTGCAATGGGCTGGGCTTACCTGCATCAACCGGAAACCGAGCTGATGCCCCAGGGATATCCCACAGGCTCCTCTTCCCGGATGTCCTTAGAGTGAGCCAAGTGGACAGTAAAAACTAACTAGATCACCAGCTGTGGACAAATCAGTTTCCCCACCTATGCGATGATGATATACTATGTAGTGGCATCTTGTTCTGCCAGTGGACTTGGGGTGGGGGGTCACATCTTAGGGTGTGGCTTCAGGTGTGTGGACGTGACCCCTTATAAGGAAGAGGAGGGGATGGACTCATTCTCTCTTAATTATTAACCTGTTTCTATTAATCTGTGTATCTCCATGTGGTCTTGGCCTAAAGTGATGTCTGAGCCTGCTTGCTTCCTCGTCAGCTACATGACATCTCCCTGACTCCACCTACTACCTTTCTCTATGGCTGTTTCCATTTCCAGCCTGACTACATCCTGCCTGTCCATTGGCCAAAACAGCTTTATTCATCAACCAATAAGAGAAACACAATTCACAGCATACAGAAGGACATCCCCCGTCAATGCTGCATAGTTGTATTAAATGAAGCTGTCACTTGATTATTCATTTATTTAAAAATATACATGTGTATATGTGTATGCATATGTGGGCATATAAACATATAAATATTTTTGGCGTGACTCTATTCTCACTGTCCCAACACACACACACACACGTATGTATGTATGTATGTATGTATGTATGTATTATGTATTGGAACAGTGAGGAATAGAACCATGCCAAAAATCAAGGTCTCTTCTCTCATGGAGGATACCGATAGTAAGTAATCCAACATAAAAAAATAGGAATGTTAAGCCTTGAGAAAGGAGAGAACATATTTAATGGGTTTTTTATCATTAGAAAATTATCTGGGCTTCCCGAAAGGACAGTTGAGCACTACAGACCCTTGTGACCTCCACCCATGGTCCTCCTCCCTCAGTTGCTGTCGTTTTTTGGGCCATTCTGCAGCTGCCCTGGCTTTGGGTGCTGTTAGCTCTGCTCTGTGGTCAGGGTCACACATCTCCTCTGAGGGGGCTTGTGAGCATATCCAACAGCAGGTCCTCACTGGCTGTGGTTTTCTACATCGGTTTCTTAATCTTCCATGTAGTTGCGGCCCTCAGATACTGTCGTTTGTTCCCTTGTTCATCTTGTGCCTGTATTTTCCCACCCATGAGAGCTCCAGTAAGAATAGGGACATCTGACTTGTTTAAGCATTCGTGGGACCAGAAAACACAGATATATTCCACGAGTGGATGAGTGGATTTTTATTTTAAGAGCTTTATGGGAAATGTAAAATGATTTATAGAATCTTTCTATGCTACATTCTTTTTGGAGATGATATGGTTGAAATATTCCAGCTAGTTACCTCAAAGTGCTTATGCCTTTTCTTTTCTGTAGACAGAAAGGCATGAAGTTTTTCACAGCTGCAGAATAAATAATTCCTTGACTTCATAATTTATATGACTAATCTCATATATTATTGACAGTTCTTTTGTGTTGTGACTATGATTTGTTTTTTCTCCTGGTACCTGCTCTAAAAGTCAAGATGCATGAAAATAATTATTTTCCTAGCCTAAGTACATAATATTTACACAAAAATATTAAAAAACCAGAACCTCCTCATTAACCATTGATTAATTGACACATTAATTGGTACATTTAGGCATTAATTGAGTACCTCTACAAAGCAGGTTTTGTGCTATACCCTGGAGCAAAAAGACAAATGTGTCACAGTCCTTTTTAACCAATGAGTTTGTCATATAGTGGGGAAGACAATTTAAAAGATTACAAACCACAGACCTGAAGTCTATGCTGGAGGGGAGCTCAGGATAATGCTAGAGTGTGTGAGAAGGGGAGCCGGGTCCTAGAGGGGCACATATGCTGCATGTCAGGGAAGTATGCCCAGGCAGGCGTGTCTGAGACAGCCCTGTGAGATGCAGGTGAGGGAACAACCTCGGGACTGTCTTGCTGAGGAAACAGGTGTGCAACGACACGAGGCTGGAGAAGACTAAAGCTCCCTAGGACCTCAGGACAGACAGCCATTTTGACATGAGGAATTTTTGTTGCTGTTTTGGTTTGGTTTTTGGTTTTTCAAGACAGGGTTTCTCTGTATTGTTTTGGAGCCTGTCCTGGAATTTATTCTGTAGACCAGGCTGGCTTCAAACTCACAGAGATCCGCCTGCGTATTTCTCCCAAGTGCTGGGATTAAAGGCATGTGCCAATACTGCCAACATGGGCATTTTTAAAGTGCTCCATGTCAGTAACTATGCAAGTTCAATCTAGCATTGGTAGTCTCCCTGTGTTAGCCTTACTGTCCTCCATAGCTTTGCTCTTCTCCAGCCAGGACTAGCCTGTGTACTCCATAGGTGTTCAGATAACAACCTCCCGCTTGTGAGGTTGCTGCCCATTGATGCCTTTCCACTATTGTGGTGTTCGAACCCATTCCTTCTCTTCCAATGCTTGTCTCATCTACCGCCTCTTTCCAGGGGATGCCCTCTGCCCACTCCTGTCGTTGTGGGTCTCGCTCAGTTGTGAGTCAGTTTTGTCCTTCAAAGTATTACCTTATGCATCTACTCCATTACCTTTAATTTGGGGTGTTAAATTTTCATTCCTGGCTTATTTTTAAGTTTAATGATGTTATAATGCAGACTGTTATGGCATGACACCACTCACATAAATCTAAGGGGCAATATATACTTACCAAATTGTTTTTTAATAAACATATTCATGCATGTGAAGTTATAAAAGCAAAGAGGGGGATACAACTTATCTTAGGTTTCTGTCACTGTGATGAAACACCTTAGCCAGAAGCAACATGGGGAGAAAAGTTTTATTTCATCTTGCATTTCTATGTGACAGTCCAGCACTAAGTGAAGTCAGGACAGGAACTCAAGGCAGGAACCTGGTGGCAGATACTGGTGCAGAGACTGTGGAGGAGTGCAGCTTACTTGTTTGATCCCATGGCTTGCAAAGTCCCAGGACCGCCAAGCCCAGGGGTGGTAGTGCCTACAGGAAACTGAGCCTACCACATTAATCATCAGTCAAGAAAATGTACCACAGGCTTCCCCACAGGCCAATTTGATGGATACATTCTCTCAATTGAGGTTCCTGTGTCAGCTTGTGTCAAGCTGACATAAAACTAGCCAGCACACAATTTACACTAGTGTTTGTCTCTAAGTTAGGTGAGATTAGTCAAAGAAGGTTGCAATGTGGCTTTTGCACTTTGCAAAATAGACGTAAAGAGACCTAAGACCCACTGTCTTCAGTGGTCTGTGCCACATGCCTGATGCTTAATATGCTGAGGGACTGGTTGCTTCATTTTCTCATATTTTTCTCTATATTTGGGGTTTCTCATCTGAACCGCCGGCTCTGCAATAAATGTGAAGAGACTGAATATTAATCACATGACTAACTTGCTCTTACAACTTAAATTAACCCATTTACACTGAGCTACATTAAAGGCTCCACAGACTCCGCCCCATCCCCTCCTTCTTCCCAGCATTCTCTCTGTCCTGAAAAATCAGGTCTAGCTATTGGCCAATCAGCTTTTATTAACAACAAGAGCAGCACATTTTCACAGTGTACGGAAGAATTAGCCCACAGCATTTACCCCTTTTTATTTAAAAGGAAGGTTTTAACTTTAGCATAGTAAAAGTATAGCAAAACAGTTACCAAGTAAGAATCACAGTTACAATATCCAGTCCATTTGTACTTGGCAAATTTAGAGAAGGATATTCTGTTATCTGTCATACATTTGTGAGTCTAAAGTTTTATATCTACTTTACTTTTTATCATGACTAAGGAAAACTTTAAGTATAATTATTTAGTCTTTAACTCTGCCAAAGACCCCAGAAGGGTGCAATGTTAACTAATGACAGGGACATTTGGCTGCCGGACAGTCATCCAAGGGTCCTTTGCAATGTTAGGGTACCCATCTTTGGCCTACAGGCCTAGAATATCTGACAGACCTTTTTGTGAACAAGGATATTTTGAAGGACTTCCTACCCTGTCTTGGCAAAGTTTGGCAGTCACTTTTCTTTGTCCAGTTTGTGCAGCATACTGTCATCAGGCAAGGCAAGGGCAGTT